GGGAATGAAGTCACTTTTCAGAATTTATGTTGTGTTAAGCACTTTTATCAATCTCAGCTTTGACCATTCGAACTCAATTCATCTATCGGGTCATAGTCTCTTAAAGTAAAATATGCCCTTTGTCTTTTGTTGTTAGTCGCACAGGCGTCATTGTGCCAGTTGATACAACTGTTTCTCACTGATCTTATCTGTATTTTTACTCATCGCAACTTCAACGACGGAGACGCGAATACAATTATTCTCGTTCTTGTAAATACCAGATCGACAAGTGTTTCTACAAACTGCGACACACCCAGAGAAAAGAGATTCTTTAGGAAAATTTCTTTGACATTATTCCTCTTATGGAGATGTTTAGAAAATTTTCGTTTTACTGATTTTTATAGACTCTTTTCTTATAGAAATACGGTTTTTAATATTTACCTTGAAGAGAAATAATGTTTTCCATATCGTGGGGGATTCAACAGTCTCATATTTTCGCTTTAAGTATATACCGCGCAAGAAATGTTTTCTGTAACTTAATAAATATTTCTCTCTCGGTGTATATATGTATCCCTCGATGTTGTATAGTGTACCGCTACTTAAACAAAGAGAGCGAAGTGCACCACTTGAATGTGCGCATCAGACACCCGATTGCCACTTTGTGGAGAAATTTATGGTTTTAGTAGAGAGCGCGGATATGAAGTGACATAAAGAAAATTTTATGAAGCGTGCTGTTAACATTGTCATATTTTGCTGTTGTATGTGCAGTTGGCAGATCTGCACCAGAAACAAGAATTTCGATGGCAATAAACCGTAATGGAATCGAGTATGTCAGACCATTAACAGTGGTGTAAAATTGCATTTTATCAAAATACTGTTTTTGAAAGAAATTTTTAATTTATTTTGTGCTCATAATCTTCTAGCTGAAGTTTACTGCTGAAGTTTACTAATTATATGTTTTCAATTTAGGTTGTACATGGCACCTACAATCTTAATTATACCCAGTATTAGATAAAGCATATAGATTATAATTAAGTACGACTTTAGTACCTTCTACAATCTAGATATGCTGCAATCTTACATTATGTGCATACACACAACACTTTTGTAAAGTAAATCTTTCTTGAAAACGAGCTAAAAATTAGTTTGTATATTGATTTTAAAGAGACATTAACCCAGAGAAGCAATATTCAAACATCACGATATCATATAACGTTCATTGTTGTGTACCTTCTCACGATTTTAAAGACACGTTTTATCGGAGATGTTCTCACACCGCGAAAACGACGTCTGTCTGGAAGTTTATACAAGACTTGATGTGCGCCAGGTCGACTATCGATCCTTCGGCTATTGTATATCATGTGCTGTAAGAGGCGCCTCTTACCGACATTAAATTCGAGCCTAGCCCATTTCACGGATAATTACATAAATTGGACATGAACTATGATTGGCGAACACAGAAACATGGAGTAATTTTCGCCACACTTACAACATCCCTCTCCCGTGTGCCCCTCCTTTGGCCCATTTTGTGATTAAATATCGTTTAAAAATTACTACCCACACATCGAATATAATTGCTTTGATAATAATGTACGATTAAAGTGTTCATCAATCGAAATAAAATAGTAATTGACTTCATATAATTTAACACTTTTATAGTTAATAAAGAAAGGGGTTTTGAAATTATCAAGACTGGTAGTTGGAATTATTACTATAAATAAAGTTTTGTTATAATTCGATTTCTATTTTATTTTGAAAACCCCTAATGAAAATTTGAATTGAATTATATGAAGATTGAATTTGGTGAAAAAATCTCTCTTCATGCCACACATTCTGATAAGAAGATAGTACGCTCTGTCAGCTGTTTTGAAATTCTGCTCGCAATCGTAACCTTATTTGTCCTCGTACAACGACAACGTCGACGACAGAGACAATCAACAATCTATCTTTTGGCTTCGATCTTGGCTCATTCATGAGTCCAACAATCTTCTTTCCAGTGGCCCAGATATAACGCACAATTTCTCAGCATTGTATTTCAATGTTCCTCGGAATCTGATTTCGCATGTCCCTTTTCAATTCCACTCAGCAGCCAGTGACACAATTGGCAAACAATATCCGATTATCTCCTGCTTCGTTTCAGAACTTATACAAATCAATATCATTTTTTCTCATCTCAGTGATTTTACATTATTTTTTTCCTCTATTCAATACCTCGTTATTTTATTTTTTTGTGCCCAAGGGAATGGAAATGAAAAATGGAGATTGACAGCATTTGTCATTTTTCTCAACACATCAACATGACAGAAGAAGGAATGATAATTGTCGTTAATAAATTCCAGTTGAAAACGTGCTGGACCGTAGTAGTAGGTGGCAGTTGGCGCGCACCAAGGGTGAAAGTATTTAGAGCGAGAAGGGTCAAGAAACACACACATATAGAGAGAATGTGACAAGACACGCGACATTGTGGATTTTAGGACCTTCTTTCACGTACGTGTCTCGTTTTGATTTCTTTTTCTTATTCCTTTTTTTTCATCTCGTTTTTTTCATTAAAGGAAGCACATAAAGTGTGTCATCATTATGAGAGAAGAGGTGGGTGAAATATCTGATGGAGTTCGAACACATTCCAACAGCAGAGAGAAATAATGAGAGCTTTCTCGCTTGTTGAGAAATCGTGAAGAAGAAATAAATATCCGTCTCATAACCAAAATTATATTGGTCACATAAAAAAAATTATTTTAAAAATTTTTCATATCTGTAATCCATTTCTGTTCTATTGCACAATATTTTGGAGGTTCGAGTTTTAATTTTTTTTTAAAACGAATTCAATCAAAATACGTTGCAGTCTGCATAAATTTACATACAGCAATGTGAATTTAAATGAATGGAAGAATAAATTATGATAAAACTTTGATTAAATAAATAAATTCTAAACTTCTGGAGCTTCTTTTAAATTCAAATTTTACTGTCAAATATTGCTTCACATGTATTAAACACGGATAAAATAATGATTTCTACAAAGCTAATTAAGGGTTTTAAAAAACCCTTATTTTATCTTCTATTTTTTCATTATGGTAATTTTTGATAAACAAGTGTGATTATGAAAAAAAATTGTATATCAAATATTACAAATATCAGATATGCAATGGAACTTTCTGAAAATGTATTTTCTTTTTTTTGATTATATTGCGCGACCATGAAACACGTAAGAAGTTAGATTAAATACTGCACAAGCGAGTTATATGGAGGCGATAATTAATAAGATGAGTACACGTACACTCGCATATAATATGCACACGAACAAAGAATTCATCTTGCAAGCATATACATAAGGGACAGTTCAAGAGATAACGACTGAGGCTGTAAATGACCGCAACGTGTAGGCATATACATGTAATACACATATATAAAATAAGAAGTATACAGGGTGCTCTGAATTTACTTGCTTCACAGATGAGAGAAGAGAGACCAGTTCTCTGGTGCACTAAGTGGTTCGCCTATCGCTGGCTATAATTTTTTTTACTTTATTTTATATGAACATTTCCCAGCTGAACGACATCACGTTTATATAGTTCTAATTAAAAAAAAATTTTAACTCTCAACATTTCAGAAAGTACCAATGTATTTTCATGGTTCATGAAATCAGTTGGTTATCATCATATTTGATAAAAATTAAAAAACCAAGAGTCTATATCATATCTTTTTCAATATAATATACAGGAAGGAAAAGAGTAAATCTGTGAGAATTTTGAAATTAAAGAAATTACTCTAAAGATGCCACTTAAAATTTTACTATGTCTATAATTCTTTCATTTAGTAATTTTCATAATAATAATAATTACGATTATTGGCAGTGAAAATGTGTTTTAAAATGAGAGAAGCGAGTTGCTTGAATCGTTCAGTCATAAAAAAAATCGCGTCGTAAATCAAAATTTTTGTTAAAACGTTGATAACTATTTTTCTATAATATTTTTCTATCAAATACATTATTATTATTAGAATATCTAATTTTTTGATTCGCCTAATAAAATTGTTGTTTCTTGACCAAATCAAAATGTCAAATACAAATATTTTATCCGTGTAATAATAAGTAATATTTAATTAATAATAATAGAAAGTGACAAAGCAGTAGTTTAATATTTAATTAATTATTAGTAGCACTAATAATTTGTAGTAATAAAAAGTGACACGAATGATAGATAGTAGTAATAATTTAGAATAATAATAGCTTCTATAATTCATAGGTCGGTGAAGTTCACATCGATTATGATCATCGAAAATCTTAAATCCAAGTTACTCCATAAACACAACAAAAACTTACATAAAACTTCAAAAAAAGATTATACTTAACAAAAAAATTCAGTTCAACCCCAATTTCATTAAAAAAAACACCCCTAGTATAACCCCCTATAATGACACATTGAAAAAAAATTCCCAAAAAATTCAATTTTTCTTAGGCTCAAAATTTTTTTTCATATTCTCGCACTAAACACACCTACAAGTGTTGAAAAAAATTGACACCCCAAAAAAAGTGGGGGAAAGTCCCCAAAACCTACCCTAAAGACCCCATCTTTAATAAAAAAATTCCCAAAAAATTCAATTTTTCTTAGGCTCAAAATTTTTTTTCATATTCTCGCACTAAACACACCTACAAGTGTTGAAAAAAATTGACACCCCAAAAAAAGTGGGGGAAAGTCCCCAAAACCTACCCTAAAGACCCCATCTTTAATAAAAAAATTCCCAAAAAATTCAATTTTTCTTAGGCTCAAAATTTTTTTTCATATTCTCGCACTAAACACACCTACAAGTGTTGAAAAAAATTGACACCCCAAAAAAAGTGGGGGAAAGTCCCCAAAACCTACCCTAAAGACCCCATCTTTAATAAAAAAATTCCCAAAAAATTCAATTTTTCTTAGGCTCAAAATTTTTTTTCATATTCTCGCACTAAACACACCTACAAGTGTTGAAAAAAATTGACACCCCAAAAAAAGTGGGGGAAAGTCCCCAAAACCTACCCTAAAGACCCCATATTTAATAAAAAAATTCCCAAAAAATTCAATTTTTCTTAGGCTCAAAATTTTTTTTCATATTCTCGCACTAAACACACCTACAAGTGTTGAAAAAAATTGACACCCCAAAAAAAGTGGGGGAAAGTCCCCAAAACCTACCCTAAAGACCCCATCTTTAATAAAAAAATTCCCAAAAAATTCAATTTTTCTTAGGCTCAAAATTTTTTTTCATATTCTCGCACTAAACACACCTACAAGTGTTGAAAAAAATTGACACCCCAAAAAAAGTGGGGGAAAGTCCCCAAAACCTACCCTAAAGACCCCATCTTTAATAAAAAAATTCCCAAAAAATTCAATTTTTCTTAGGCTCAAAATTTTTTTTCATATTCTCGCACTAAACACACCTACAAGTGTTGAAAAAAATTGACACCCCAAAAAAAGTGGGGGAAAGTCCCCAAAACCTACCCTAAAGACCCCATATTTAATAAAAAAATTCCAAAAAAATTCAATTTTTCTTAGGCTCAAAATTTTTTTTCATATTCTCGCACTAAACACACCTACAAGTGTTGAAAAAAATTGACACCCCAAAAAAAGTGGGGGAAAGTACCCAAAACCTACCCTAAAGACCCCATATTTAATAAAAAAATTCCCAAAAAATTCAATTTTTCTTAGGCTCAAAATTTTTTTTCATATTCTCGCACTAAACACACCTACAAGTGTTGAAAAAAATTGACACCCCAAAAAAAGTGGGGGAAAGTCCCCAAAACCTACCCTAAAGACCGCATCTTTAATAAAAAAATTCCAAAAAAATTCAATTTTTCTTAGGCTCAAAATTTTTTTTCATATTCTCGCACTAAACACACCTACAAGTGTTGAAAAAAATTAACACCCCAAAAAAAGTGGGGGAAAGTCCCCAAAACCTACCCTAAAGACCGCATCTTTAATAAAAAAATTCCAAAAAAATTCAATTTTTCTTAGGCTCAAAATTTTTTTTCATATTCTCGCACTAAACACACCTACAAGTGTTGAAAAAAATTAACACCCCAAAAAAAGTGGGGGAAAGTCCCCAAAACCTACCCTAAAGACCCCATATTTAATAAAAAAATTCCCAAAAAATTCAATTTTTCTTAGGCTCAAAATTTTTTTTCATATTCTCGCACTAAACACACCTACAAGTGTTGAAAAAAATTGACACCCCAAAAAAAGTGGGGGAAAGTCCCCAAAACCTACCCTAAAGACCCCATCTTTAATAAAAAAATTCCCAAAAAATTCAATTTTTCTTAGGCTCAAAATTTTTTTTCATATTCTCGCACTAAACACACCTACAAGTGTTGAAAAAAATTGTCACCCCAAAAAAAGTGGGGGAAAGTCCCCAAAACCTACCCTAAAGACCCCATCTTAAATAAAAAATTTCCAAAAAATTCAATTTTTCTTAGGCTCAAAATTTTTTTTCATATTCTCGCACTAAACACACCTACAAGTGTTGAAAAAAATTGACACCCCAAAAAAAGTGGGGGAAAGTCCCCAAAACCTACCCTAAAGACCCCATCTTAAATAAAAAATTTCCAAAAAATTTAATTTTTCTTAGGCTCAAAATTTTTTTTCATATTCTCGCACTAAACACACCTACAAGTGTTGAAAAAAATTGACACCCCAAAAAAAGTGGGGGAAAGTCCCCAAAACCTACCCTAAAGACCCCATATTTAATAAAAAAATTCCCAAAAAATTCAATTTTTCTTAGGCTCAAAATTTTTTTTCATATTCTCGCACTAAACACACCTACAAGTGTTGAAAAAAATTGACACCCCAAAAAAAGTGGGGGAAAGTCCCCAAAACCTACCCTAAAGACCCCATATTTAATAAAAAAATTCCCAAAAAATTCAATTTTTCCTAGGCTCTAAATTTTTTTTCATATTCTCGCACTAAACACACCTACAAGTGTTGAATAAAATTGACACCCCAAAAAAAGTGGGGGAAAGTCCCCAAAACCTACCCTAAAGACCCCATATTTAATAAAAAAATTCCCAAAAAATTCAATTTTTCTTAGGCTCAAAATTTTTTTTCATATTCTCGCACTAAACACACCTACAAGTGTTGAAAAATATTGGCACCCCAAAAAAAGTGGGGGAAAGTCCCCAAAACCTACCCTAAAGACCCCATCTTTGATAAAAAAAATTCCAAAAAAATTCAATTTTTCTTAGGCTCAAAATTTTATATTTTATGTAGTTTTTTATAATTTTGCATATTTTATCCAATAAACAAAAAAAACCATTTAGTATTTTTTTCTGGTTTTTTGCTATAAAAATCAAATTTTTGGGGTATTATTATTATAATATGCGTAATGAGCTCATAAAAATACATAAAAGTATGAAGTATTAAAAATCAAAAATATTTTAAAAAATTCAAAATTGAAACATTTTTTAAAAATTTCAAAAATATTGTAAAAATTGTTTGTCCACGATCGGGCGAGGCTTAAAATTTTGGCAAAAAGTATTTTTTTGAAAAAATTTTTAAATTTTTTTGTTTGTTTGTTGTTTTTTGATTTTACATTCTGACAATAATTGATGATTGCCAAAATAGTTTGCATATTCAAGCAGTCGGGAAAGTTTGTCGAAGCTGAAAATTTAAAATTCAACAAAAAAGTCACAAAAATTTTATTTGTTTGTGAATATGATGTTTTTTATAAATGTTTATTTACTAATTGAATCTAAAAACATCATTTTGTCTATGTGGAAATTTGTAGCCGCGTAGAGAATAAATGTTAAAATCTTTCAAAAAACAGGCGTGATTAGCCATGAATTTGACTATTGTGTGGAGCAAGGTGTGGAGGCAAGAATAGTGAGGATAGAGACGAACGTGGATATTCGGCTGCGTTCGTCTTTGGTCGGCTCTTTGCTTTACGTTATCCCCACCGCTCCGCTCACTCCACAGACCCCGGCGAAAGTCTATAACTGCTTGGAAATCTGATTTTGCCTTTTTCGTCGTATTTTTTCTCTCTCCACTCGGACCCAATTTAAACGCGCTTGGGTGAAAAAGTGAAGATTCAACGAAGCTGAATTACGCAACGTTTATATAGGATAAACGATTTTTAAAGAAATAATTTTTTAATTGAAAAATTCTAAAAAAATTTTTTTTATAATATGTTGATTAATAAAAACTACAAAGAAATTTTTAAAGTAAAAATTTCAAGATTTTTTCATTTTAAAAAATTATTTCTTTAAAAAACGTTTATCATAAATATTGCGATCTTCAGATTATTAAGATTATTATTATTACTATTAAAATATATTAAAATAATCTAGAAATTTTTACTTTAAAAATTTTTTTTTAGTTTTTATTAATCAACATATTATAAAAAAATTTTTTTTAGAATATTTCAATTGAAAAATTATTTCCTTAAAAATCGTTTATTTTATTTAAACGTTGCGTAATTCAGCTTCGTTGAATCTTCACTTTTTCACCCAACCGCGTTTAAATTGGGTCCGAGTGGAGAGAGAAAAAATACGACGAAAAAGGCAAAATCAGATTTCCAAGCAGTCATAGACTTTCGCCGGGGTCTGTGGAGTGAGCGGCGCGGTGGGGATAACGTAAAGCAAAGAGCCGACCAAAGACGAACGCAACCGAATATCCACGATCGGCTCTATCCTCACTATTCATGCCTTCACACTATAGTCAAATTCAAGGCTAATCACGCCTGTTGTTTGAAAAGATTTTAACATTTATTCTCTACGCGGCTACAAATTTCCACATAGAAAATGATGTTTTTAGTTTCAATTAGTAAATAAACATTTTAAAAAAACATCATATTCACAAACAAATAAAATTTTTGTAATTTTTTGCTAAATTTAAAACTTTCAACTTCGACAAACTTCCCCGACTGCTTGCATATACAAACTATTTTGGCAATTGTCAATTATTGCCAGAATGTAAAATCAACAAACAAAAAATTTAGTCTCGCTTTTTCTTTGCGAGAAATAAATTTTTTAATAGAAATTTTTCACGTTTTTCAACTTTTGACAAAAGCTGAACTACGCAACGTTTATGATAAACCATTTTTAAAAATGTAAAATTCTATAATTTTTTGCTTGACAAATATTTTTTATAATTTGTTGATTAATGAAAACTACAAGAAATATTTTTCAGACAAAAATTTAAAGAATTTTTTATTTTAAAAAATTATTTCGTTTGTCATAAACGTTGCGTACTTCAGCTACGTAAAATTTGGGTGTGAACAAGACAAATTTCCCACATGGCTTGGATGTCTACATTTTATTAAAGTTATCTACACTCAGAAAAAAAATATATTTGAACCAAATGTACCATTTTTTTAAATTTACCTAATTTTTTGGTTAGTTCAAACAAAATTTGTTCAATTCAAATAAATATTTATTTGATCTAAATAACTGTTTAGTTTATTTTAATAAATTTTTTGAACAAAGAAAAAATTTAATTGAACTAAATAAACGTTTGGTTTATGGAATCACATGTTTGGTTAACTGTATATCAATGCATTTATTTTGTTGATTTCACCAAAATTTGGTTGCTTCAAACGAATTTTTTTCTGAGTGTACTATAAATAGGAAGTCAAAATAAGAATAAAATTTTTGGTCTCTCATTTAGTTTTCGAGAAATAAATTTTCTATTTGAAATTTTTTAATTTTTTGGAGTCTTTCCACAACTTGTTAGGGGGTGTCAATTTTTTTTAACACTTTTAGGTGTGTTTAGTGCAAGAATTTGAAATAAAATTGAGAGCCTAAGAAAAATTGAATTTTTTTTTATCAAAGATGGGGACTTTAGGGTAGGTTTTGGGGGCTTTCCCCCACTTTTTTTGGGGTGCCAATTTTTTTCAACACTTGTAGGTGTGTTTTGTGCCAGAATTTGAAATAAAATTGTAAGCCTAAGAAAAATTGAATTTTTTTGGAATTTTTTTATTAAAGATGCGGTCTTTAGGGTAGGTTTTGGGGACTTTCCCCCACTTTTTTTGGGGTGTCAATTTTTTTCAACACTTGTAGGTGTGTTTTGTGCTAGAATTTGAAATAAAATTGTAAGCCTAAAAAAAATTGAATTTTTTGGTAATTTTTTTATTAAAGATGGGGTCTTTAGGGTAGGTTTTGGGGACTTTCCCCCACTTTTTTTGGGGTGTCAATTTTTTTCAACACTTGTAGGTGTGTTTAGTGCGAGAATATGAAAAAAAATTTTGAGCCTAAGAAAAATTGAATTTTTTGGGAATTTTTTTATTAAATATGGGGTCTTTAGGGTAGGTTTTGGGGACTTTCCCCCACTTTTTTTGGGGTGTCAATTTTTTTCAACACTTGTAGGTGTGTTTAGTGCGAGAATATGAAAAAAAATTTTGAGCCTAAGAAAAATTGAATTTTTTGGAAATTTTTTATTTAAGATGGGGTCTTTAGGGTAGGTTTTGGGGACTTTCCCCCACTTTTTTTGGGGTGTCAATTTTTTTCAACACTTGTAGGTGTGTTTAGTGCGAGAATATGAAAAAAAATTTTGAGCCTAAGAAAAATTGAATTTTTTTATTAAATATGGGGTCTTTAGGGTAGGTTTTGGGGACTTTCCCCCACTTTTTTTGGGGTGTCAATTTTTTTCAACACTTGTAGGTGTGTTTAGTGCGAGAATATGAAAAAAAATTGTGAGCCTAAGAAAAATTGAATTTTTTGGTAATTTTTTTATTAAAGATGGGGTCTTTAGGGTAGGTTTTGGGGACTTTCCCCCACTTTTTTTGGGGTGTCAATTTTTTTCAACACTTGTAGGTGTGTTTAGTGCGAGAATATGAAAAAAAATTTTGAGCCTAAGAAAAATTGAATTTTTTGGGAATTTTTTTATTAAAGATGGGGTCTTTAGGGTAGGTTTTGGGGACTTTCCCCCACTTTTTTTGGGGTGTCAATTTTTTTCAACACTTGTAGGTGTGTTTAGTGCGAGAATATGAAAAAAAATTTTGAGCCTAAGAAAAATTGAATTTTTTTGGAATTTTTTTATTAAAGATGCGGTCTTTAGGGTAGGTTTTGGGGACTTTCCCCCACTTTTTTTGGGGTGTCAATTTTTTTCAACACTTGTAGGTGTGTTTAGTGCGAAAATATGAAAAAAAATTTTGAGCCTAAGAAAAATTGAATTTTTTGGGAATTTTTTTATTTAAGATGGGGTCTTTAGGGTAGGTTTTGGGGACTTTCCCCCACTTTTTTTGGGGTGTCAATTTTTTTCAACACTTGTAGGTGTGTTTAGTGCGAGAATATGAAAAAAAATTTTGAGCCTAAGAAAAATTGAATTTTTTGGGAATTTTTTTATTAAAGATGGGGTCTTTAGGGTAGGTTTTGGGGACTTTCCCCCACTTTTTTTGGGGTGTCAATTTTTTTCAACACTTGTAGGTGTGTTTAGTGCGAGAATATGAAAAAAAATTTTGAGCCTAAGAAAAATTGAATTTTTTGGGAATTTTTTTATTAAAGATGGGGTCTTTAGGGTAGGTTTTGGGGACTTTCCCCCACTTTTTTTGGGGTGTCAATTTATTTCAACACTTGTAGGTGTGTTTAGTGCGAGAATATGAAAAAAAATTTTGAGCCTAAGAAAAATTGAATTTTTTGGAAATTTTTTATTTAAGATGGGGTCTTTAGGGTAGGTTTTGGGGACTTTCCCCCACTTTTTTTGGGGTGTCAATTTTTTTCAACACTTGTAGGTGTGTTTAGTGCGAGAATATGAAAAAAAATTTTGAGCCTAAGAAAAATTGAATTTTTTGTGGATTTTTTTTATTAAATATGGGGTCTTTAGGGTAGGTTTTGGGGACTTTCCCCCACTTTTTTTGGGGTGTCAATTTTTTTCAACACTTGTAGGTGTGTTTTGTGCTAGAATTTGAAA